AGCAAATCATCTATACAACATCTTTTTTTTTTAAATAAACAAATGTGAAAAGATTCTGCAATCAAATGAATCATATTTTACATAACGTTTTCAGATGGGACAATGCACTTCAAGCTTTTAGAGGAGATGAGTAAAGAACGATCGTTGTCAACGTTTATCAGTGGTATGGGTAGGAAAAGATGGTAAATGAATCATGCAAACATTTGTACTGATAAAAGTGTTCATGCACAATGCAAATAGTGTCACTGAAAAGCGATCCAACTAGTTCTCTTCAACGATTTCATTTCATTTCATTTTAAAATATTAGTTTATATACTTTCAAAAGCGGATATTCAGTAAATGATTTAGGAGATTACTTACAATGGATAGTAAATTTAACAAAATGATAACATACTTATCATCCGCAGATCAATATAGATAAGGAATGATTTGCTTTAAGGAACAAAAAAATAACAGGTTATTGCAATAAGTGTATGTGTGGTGAGTATTTAAATAAAAATTTCAAATGTAAATACGATTAATAATTTGTTCTGATAATTCCCAAGAAATTGATAAGATCTATAGAATAACTTTTAAAAGACTTTTCAAGGAAAACTTAGTAAATGAAAACTTTTCGAAGAGTACACTTTCACTACTAAAATATAACGAGAAATTTGGATAAAAATTTATTTTAATTTGTCCTTGAAAGCAATTTTGGAAATGTTTTGATGAAAAAAGAAGTTGTGAGTAAACATTCATTTTTACAACCGCAAATTAACAGAATGCATTATAATTATACGAAGAAGGATCTATCGCCTAAATAAGGATTTGATGATCATCGTTAAAAATATGTTAAAATCGTTGGAAAGGATAGAATTAGTGGAATTATGAATGTTATTTGTTGAAACGATAATATCTGTAAAAGATAAGGCTAAAATAATTATTTCATATTAAATCAACGATTTCTCTTTGCATGTTTATCAGTGACACTAAATTATAATATCATTTATTTTGACATACCAATTTAGTACGATAATATGAAACTGGATGTACATGCATATATATACAATTTACTCAAAATTATCTATTTAAAATTATCTATTTTAAAATTGATTGTAACAAAAAGTATTAAAAATTTTATTGTGCAGTTTTTTAAATTTAAATTTAAATTTTCAATTTTTTTACATCCCTTTCATTAATGTCTTTTTTCATTGTTCCCAATCAGATAATTAATTAGTCGATGTGCTATCCTATCCAAATTTAATTTGTTTAAAAGAAAATAATATTGAATGTACGAAATAATTATTGTCTTTTCTTAAAAATTAAGGTAAAATAACGATAGGTTTAAAATATTATCAATAACAAGCATTGATATGTAAATGATAAGATCGAACTACTCGGAAGTTTTGGGAGGGAGAAAAGATTGGTAAATGGTATGAAATCTTATTTGAGTATTTCAAAAGAGATCAATCAATTGGAAGGAAGACATTCGTAAGATGAAATGAGCGTATAAGGAAGGCAAAGATTAAATCGCTGATTTATCACAAATTTTATTTTCATAATAACAACAATAAAAATAATAAAGGAAAATATTCTGCAATAACTGCGATAACGATGACATTACCACACAAAAATATTTTCATAAAAACTTTTCTTTCTTTTTTTTTTTTTTGAAATAGAATTGAAATGAACAATTCAAAAATACAAACTTTTCTCGTAATCACAAGACAATCATTACAATATGTCGATTTATTTCGTAATTTTTTCATTTTCTGTTTTTTTTTTTTTTCAAATGAATTTTCTAAAATCTTTGAAAAATTTTCTGTCGAAAATAACAAAAGAGAAGGAAAGAAGAGATGCATCTGTTTGGGAATAAAATCATTGGTATGGAAGAAATTATGCAAAATTTTGATGTAAAACATCCTGAATATGTTCATACGATGATCATGCTTCTTCCATCCTCAGGAGAGAAAAAGTGGACAAAGAAATAGGAATCGCCGACAAATCGGCGCTCTTAGTCTTCTTTCTTATTATTAGAAAAGGACGGAGCATAAATGCACAAAAATTATTTTGACGTTTATGTCATAAATCTTTTTCACCTTCTCTTCTATTATCGTGTACTTTTTAAAAAAAAAAATCATAATACAAAAGTCATTGAACGAGTATAGCCTGCATTTGTATCGTAGTAGTGCTACTACTTACTGTAAGTATAAGTTTACCCATATAAAGTGGAAGATTATTACTTAACTTACCTATAAGTTGATACAAACTTATGCACGAAATTATAGTTAAATAAATACAAAATTTGCATAATCTCAAAATAATCAATCGATCGAAAGTAAAATATATTCAAAAAAAAAAAATTAAAGTATTTTCAATAAATTGTGGATATTATCATATACCATCTGATAAATATTTTAATTCATCAAATTAACAACAAATCATTTTTTCCTTTTCCACACCACTTTATTATCAGAGAGAGAAGAGAGAGAGAGAAAAAAAAAGATTTTGCAAGGAAAGAAATAAAATTTGCACATATTAAAAGTGGAAAGACGAAGGAAGAAAGAGAAAAGATATGTATTGCTTGTTATCAGCACTGAAATGAAAGGAAAGAAATTATCAGTGGAAATGAATTCGAATGAAATAAAGGACAACAGATGGAAACTAGTTCTATGCAGCATCCTGGATTCTACGTAGTCATCTACGGTAGTTGCGCTATTGATATTATTCTCAAATTGTGATGATATTTGCCATTTCTATCTATCAATATCATTACTTTATAGTTAAGTAAGCAATAATTTCGTTCAGTTACTGTTGTAATTGAACTTTTGATTAGTCTAATTTATTGCTAAGTTACAATTCTGAATACAATTTGTAAACTGACGAAGTAAAGCTGTAATTTCTAATGAATGGAATGAAATGGCTAGTTTATTTAGAGAAGATAAAAACTGCTTGATTTATTAGATTATTACTTTTATCTAACGCTGATTTTATTATTAATGATTATTGATAAGTTACTAACTGTTAATAAAATGCAATGAATGGATGAGTGATAATTAATCATAACGGATGACCAATGTTAGATCTGTAAGAAAGTTAATATAACAGGTGTATAATTTTGGAAACAAGCTCAATTATTTCATTACAAGTTATCCATGACAATAATAGTGGAAGAATACAAACTTATTCCATCTTCTCACGAATAGCGGAAGTTTTAATAATGTTTTTCGATTTAAGATCCATCCAATTTGGATGTGTCTCGGCAACTGATAAAAAAATCATGAAGTTTGATTTGGAATCAGTGATAATCATTTGATAATAAATGAATGTTTAACAGACGTTTGCTCTTTATTGCATCCTTGATTATCATTGCCAATGCTAGTTATAATCTTATAATTTAAATAAATTCCACGTCTTTTTCAGTTGAAAGAAATTCGTAAATAGAAATAGTTGACGAAAGTTTTGAGAAATTTGTGACATGAAATTGTGTTTTTTTTTCTTTGGAAACATCGGTACAATGAAAAAAAGTCAAATTTTTAAATATTCCAAATAAAATCGACCGAAAATAATTCACCTACCATCAAATTCTAGAAATTCCGCAGAAAAATATATAACATTAATTGGACTTTTGTCTTTACCAATACTTTCGTCAATTTTCATTTTTAATACTAATATTTTTATTTTTAGTATTTCCAGTATTTTAGTATTTTACATTGTTAGAATATTTTTAGCATTTTCTTCATCTTTAATGCTAATTTCCTGCTAATATTTTGCATTTTTAAAATATTTTAAAAATAGTTCAGTCTAATCCCATACAAAGGATGTAATGATATCACTGAAATACCATACCGCTCGAAGACAAATACTTAAATTCAAATATGACAATTTAGAGGAAGATGGTTGGGAAAAAGAAAACGAGGTAAAAAAAATTCATAAACAAAGGTAAATACAATTCCATTCTCCTGATCACTGTTTCAAAATTTCTCCTTCACCATATTTGTTTGACAATTATAGCAATTATAAATACTGTCTAAGGAGAATTTTCCTAGGGAATTTTGTCTGACGTAATTTCAATCGGGAAATTATCATCTATTAATTGTTACGGTTTATCAACTGTTTTTGTCGTATACAGGTTAAAAGTATACAGGTTAAAGGTTAAACGGAGAGGAAGAGTCGTGGAATATTGAGCAACAATTAGTTTGAATTTATCTTGTAAAACTTTGCTCGATTGATAGGCAAACTTCTATTTAACTTCCATTTAAGAACTCTTTTTAATGGATTTATTCCAAGTTTTTCTTGAAATTGATTTCCTTTCTCACCTTATGACGTAAAATTTCAAAGTTTGCACTCAATCTATCACAAATAACATCAACATAACAAAAAACGTCACAGTAAAATTTGGATTTTAATGTCAACTCAGAGATGACACATTGTAATCTGTTTATAGGCTGTATATTAAAATATAAAAAATAGTAAATTAATGATAATACGTAAGGGGAAAACATTTATCTCTTTGATCCAATCACATTCTAATATTTCTCTATAGCGTATTAATATTATCGGGTTATTTATAGTTTGAAAAAATTTTTCAAATTTACAAAAATCATACGTGCATGCATGAATGCGTCCATTTATTTGTGCATGCAGTAAAATTAGGAGAAAAATACCCAACAAAATAAGATTAGGTAAAAATTTATAATTAAAAAAGGTTCCAAATCATTCAGCATTTTGTATAGAAAGAAAGTGTCACCAGATTGGTTGGCAAAAAGAGAAATGATCAGAAACCATAAATTTTATCATAAGGGTGTTGGTTGATTGATAAAGGTCATTTGTATGAATTTATATCATAACTAAAACCATTTCAGCTTAACAAGCCAAAAAGAAGTGTCCTAAATTGAATTGAACTTATCCACAAATAAGTTTGATAGAGAGTTGTTCATACATGATTCATCGGTCGTTATCATCTTACCTGACAATGTCTTTTTGGTTCAGTTAAATGATGAATGATTCCAATAAATGGGACAACACAGACTGATTCAACCGTAATTAGTTGTATATTGAGGTTAAGCTATAAATTTGCAAATATTTCACATTTTTAACAAATCTTTTTGATTTCATTAGATTGAAATTAATTTTAATTTTATTCTAGTGTCTTCAAATTTCTATTATCTTATCCGGAAACTTCCACATTACTCATTTGACACTTCTGCTTCATATTAAAATGCAAATACTATAATGTAAAAAACAAGGCTAATTAGATGGAGCTAAAATTAATTAAGCTATTTGAAATGACAAAAAATAGCAATAGCAATGCATCGTTGATTGTTTTACCGGTAGAATAGGTATAAGTTTTGTTGAGAGAGGTGTTATGCTCATGAATCTGCATAGATAGAGAGAAAGTAAGTCATAAATCTGTAAAGATGTCACGCTGTCACACTGTCACACTGTCATGGTATGCATCTCGAAGGAATAAGACGAAAGCTGTCTTGTAATCAGGATGATTCATTCCGGAAATGTTTCTTAGTACGACGATTTTCAAGTTCTTCATCTTGATTATTTCCAAACTTCACTACACATATATATGTTTGAGAGAAAGTTCACGCTTAATTAACAATATACTGACAGTTAAACAAAATTATTCTTATTAAAGTTACGTTTTCCATAGGTTAATTAATTTCTAGTAATTAAAAAATATAATCACTTAAATAATTCAATTACTTCAATAACAAGAATAAATTTCCTTGTTGTAAAATTTGTAAATTTTTATTTTAAATCAAATACTGTTATATCAATACTTGAAAGAGACTTTTGCAAAATTTTATAAAGAACCAGTTCTTATATTTTTCATTTCGTCTACTTTGAAGCTTCAATTATTTAAAGTAAATTTACTTTGTCGAATAACTCCTAGAAAAGTAGCTTCAGGAAAAAACAAATTTCTGGAGATTTCCAAAAAAAAAGGGAAAACAAGAAATGCGTTTTTTTTTTTTAAAAAAAAAGTATGTTTTGGTGACACGAACAAATTCTTATCAACGAATTCTACTTGTGACAAATTAAAACTAAGAAATCCGTGCATTTTGCATGAAACCTCAGCTCTCTCTCTCTCGCTCTCTCTTTCTCTTCTTTTTTTGTTGTTCCCTCTCCCTCTCTCTCTATTTTAATTCCTTTGCATTTGAAAATAAATTTCTAAAAAACGATCAAAGAATGAAAAAGTATTTTGAAAGATTTACCTTCCATAATTCTTGTCATTTAATCATTCCTTATCAATCAGAGATACTATGAGGAGATAAAAAAAGAAAATGAAGAAGGAAAATTTGAAGCGGAAATTTAGAAAATAGTATGGATAAGCTTTAAAAAAATCTCAAATTAAGTTAAAATTTTCGATTTAAGCTTTAAAGATACGCCAAATTTTCTTTCCATTATCAGGGAGAAGAACGACTAAAAGAGTAAGTTCAAAAATTTCATTCATGACAGAGGACGACGATCTTTGTTAAATCAAGAGCTGCTCCTTACTCCAACTGTTGTTTCGTTTTCATCAAATGATGGAAAAGAAGAAATGATCGGAAATGGCTGAGAATGAATTTATTACCCTTGAAAATTCTCATTAAACTTTGCGCTCTTTTATACCCAATCTTTATTATCGTTCATTCAATATTTAACGCTTAAATGCACGTTTTCCTTCTTTTCTTGATAAAAAAAAGACATTTCTTCTATCTTCTTTCAGTCAAAAAATAAAAAAGGTTAGAAATTTTGATAGCAAGAAATTGATCAATTCTATTACAACAGCCAAATTCACACATCTTATCATTCAAATTTCAAAAACTCTAGAAAAATTACAATTTAACTCACAAAATATAATGGATGGTTGTTTATAATTTTACAGTCTCATCAGGGTGAATAATCTCGGGAACTATAAGGAAATCAGAGAAATTATGAGAAGTTTCCTCAAGCAAAAAAGTTAACATTATGTTTAGGTACATGCCAAACAAAGTAATAAAGTTAAAACTTTCTACAAAAAAAAGAGCTTTTTATCTTATTTAATATTCCTTCAGCAAATTGACAGCTTTGATTGGACGACAAATACGGTAATTTCGAGAAATGTCACTAAGAAAGCAAATGTGTCGTCGAAGATATCATTCTATGACAGAAATGAAATTGGCCAGATGGACCGAATAAGTATCAATAATTCGCAGTAGCTGATTTGCTTATCAGTTAATGTGAAATAGGGAAGAAAAAAGTAACTTAACATTTTTTTTGAAAGACAAGAAAGAAATGTATCTCATTGAAGTCTCATTAAGTAACAAAAAATCATTCAACAATCGAAATTGCTATTAACTAAATCAAAATTTATATTGAAATATTTACTTAATTGTTTCAAAATAAAAAAAAAATGTTCGCTATTCTGTTGGTTTCATTCAACAAGAACTGCAAAATACACCAGTTCGAGGTATACAAAAGGTCATCATAACATGACCTTCAGATTTAGAACAAGAATGTAATATGTAAGAAGAAATTCTGAGTAAATAATCAATTTTCGAAAAAAATACAAATGCTTGAAAATTGTCATAAAATAACAATTTTTCTCTTTCTTTTAATGCAATATCTCTACAATTTGTTCAATTTATCTCGAAAATGCATTTTTAGAAATTTGAAAAAAGTTTTCAAGTCAGAGACTTGAAATGAACAGGTTTTTTTTCGATACGAACAAGAACGAAGGTTCTGAGCTAGAACGAGATCGATTTCTCTATATGATATTAAATTTTCAAAACAGATCTTAAACTGACATTGTGGGTGAAGTGAGGATAATTTTTCTCCTCATGGAAATGTTATATTTAAGAAAATTGAAGTTTGAAATTATATTCTACAACAAAAAATCATTTCAAAATCTTGTTGAAATTTGTAAAGGCTTGAAATAATTAGCAGATTTATAGAAAATAATAATTTTGCCTGAATTTTAGAATAGATAAGTTATAAAAAAATAAGTTGAAGTATGAATCAATCTGGTATCGACAGAAAGTAGTAAAGAAAATTTCAGTGAGAATTAGAAGGGCAAAGTTCAAAACGATGAATTTTAGAAGGTTAATAGGAAATGGCATATGTTGTGTTATTATCGATTCTAAAACTGAACTTGGAAAAAGATGATTACCTTTCAAATTCCTTTTGATAATAGGGAAATGTAGGAGTTGAAAGTTCATCGTGACAATGGCGATTGTTTGGGGAAATAAGCACATTGTTCCTTATTTTATCGAAGCTATTACCATTGTCATTTAAAGATGCCTGAAATGCAGATGTTGAAATTTTAACTATGAATCACCTAAGTTGAGGTGAATTCAGTTAGATATCTAAAACGTAAAAAAAAAATTAAAAGCTTTAACAATGAATTACTCTACCTGATATCAATTCAATTTCCTATACTAAGTGACAAGTTCTTATTTTAAAAAAAATTGATAGATCACTTCTATGTGAACCGCAACTCACTTTCTACTGCTTCAGGAGGAATGATAATTGAGTAGTACTAACAAGGTTAGGAGTTTATTTATAAAAAGTTGAAGCAGATCGGAAAACTTTTAAATTAGCTTAAAACTTTTAATGAAGTGTAGCCACCAAAGCCAGCTCTTTATTAAATTTAATTAAATTAGCTCATTTGTCAAGCAGAAATATGTGCTATAAGATGAAGGCATAATTAGAAAGTATTAATTAAGTATTCAAACCAAATGTTATTCAGGAATTATTAAACAAAATGGAATTATTTTAATTATAATGACTGAATAGATATCATTTTTAGTGTAACTGATCTAATAGTTGATATCTCTTCGCCGGACATTACTAATACTCTACCGGATATATTCTCTAGAAGAAGTAACTCATAATATGAATTGTTTTACACCATTCATTAACGGTAAAGAGTGGAATGTTTGTCTGCGAAATTGAATGAATTGATAAATGAATTCATACGCCTTCCACTTTAATCGGAATATTTCGTACAACGCTATATGGTGGTGAGCCAATGGTTCCGTTTGACATATGGCGTAAGGAAGTGTCCTTGTAACGTTCCAATGGTGAAAGAGGAAATATGCGATCAAATAATGAGCCTGAAGAAGGAAAAATAGAAAGAGCTTCTAATATATTAAAGATCATTTAGGAAGCTAAAAGTTGCTTACCTAACTTTCCCGAATATTCACAGGTACAAATCTTATTCTTGAAAGTAATCAGAGAAAGTATAACTAATTTTGTGAATTCATTTATAATTCGTTTAAGTTCTGTGTTACGAAAATCAGTAGTGAGGCGAAAATAGAATGGAAGTGTAATGTAAACTTTCAAACCGATCTTTTTTTAAGATAAATAATTGATTTTTCATCAAAGAAACTCTGATGACAAAATAAGGGAGAGAATCAGAAATAACCAATAATTATTTTTAATTTTTCTCTCATGAATTTAGTTAGCCTAGACATGCACTGAATTTCAATTTAAAATCCAAGCATGAAAAAATGATTGAAATAAACCTGAGTCAAAAGTAGGGGAACTGATGAATTCGCTGGTAAATGGCGATGGAATGTCATCCAACGAATTGGCGTCATCGATGAATGACAGTGTTGACAATCTTCCGGTACCACTAAACATGAATTGTTGTCGATTATTGTTAGTATTACTGCTATCGATAAATGGTGATGAGATCGATTCCTGAAATTGATGTTTTCATAATGGTATGTTTATTCATACTATCCCAACGGAAATTATGGCTGCTTATTCGGAATGGAAATCGAAATAAATTATTAATCAATCCCAAACAATTTCATGAAATTCTAAATAAATTCAAATTAAGTGACAGTGATAATTGTATTTATGTTCAAAAAAAAAATCAGACTGTTAATTAATTAATTAATAGCTACAAACTTTAACGTAACATCTGATAGCAATGTAAAAAAAAAGACTTGATACAAGTGACATAAAATGATTGATAGTTTTAAATCAACCGACAGAACGACGTAAATAGTTATAACGGCAATGTGAGTTTTATTCGAGGAGTTCTTATTGTGATCGATATGCGGTTGATGTGATGAACTCGGATAGTCCCAGGCCTAGTCTTAAATCTGGCCTAATTTTTATATACAAGATAAATTGTCCGAATTATAGGTTAATGCAAATTCCAATTTATGCAAATTTCGATAATTAATCTTTGATTTCATCGAATATTATCCAGAAAAATTGCAAAAATGTACAATTTACAGAAGATTAATGTTAATTAATAGGAAAAATATAACTACTCTTAGTTCAATTTTCATAAAAGAAAAATAAAAGTTTGTATAAACGTACTTCCAATTCTTTCATTTTTCTGAACGGAAATTCTTCTCTCATCTT